CTTATTCGCACATTCTTACATACCACGCAACCTGCTATACTTTCCAACCAACAACCCACGGCTCGTAAAAACGACATTATCCTTTTCTTAGTCCTTCGACTAAGAAAGTTGCCGTTGTCTCCAACGTACGAACGGCTTGGTGGTTGGGCGAAATTGGCTGGTCGACCGAAAGGAAACAATTCCTCGTCACATTATACGGAAAAACGGGGCGGGGTGGCGTCGAATTAATTACAGGGCCGGTATCGTCGTAAAATACAGGGGTTCGAGGAAGGACATTGGGGGCTGCAAGGCGGCATGCGTGAAATTCAACGCGAAGCCGGCTACCAAAATACTTGGTTGGAATTAGTAATTAAGTACTCGAGACAATTCCGGAAGCGAGTCGGCGTGACGTTCTGTAATTGCCGGACACTACGGGGATTTCAATTCGGTCGCGGCGGGGATTTGCATACTTTGTGTTTTGTATGCGCCGCGCATACTAGCCGGCGGTATTACGAAATTCGGTCGCCACGCGAAATTCCTATCCTCCTCCCACCCGCTCGTTCGCGCTCTCTCTCTCTCTCTCTCTCTCTCTCTCTCTCTCTCCTCTCTCTTTATCTCTCTCTCTCTCCTCTCTCTTTATCTCTCTCTTCTCTCTTTATCTCTCTCTCTCTCTCTCTCTCTCTCTCTCTCTCTCTGTCCGCGTCTCTTTCGCACCGTCGCTCTCTTCGGCGCACACAGATATAGCGGGTCTCCATCTCTCTCCGCTGAACGTCGTTATAAACGAGTTACGAGTCCGTCGTCCCCTGGACGTCGTTATGAGTTCCACGTTTCACTGAACCCGCTCTTCACTTATGGACGACGGCAGAGATATGCAATAACGTGTCCTGGCCGTTTCGGTGCGTCCATGAATCGCCGCGGTTGTCCCTCCTTTTTAATAGCGCACCGACTGCCCCCGCGCAGACTGCCTACGGCCTCGCACTCTTTATTGGACGAATTAATTTCGTATTATCGTTCTTTCTTTCGCGGCCGCGCCACGCGGCGATATTTTTAGAGCGGCGTCCTAGTCCCGGTGCCCGCGTACGCGAATCGAGTTTAAGATAAATGAATTTTTAATTAACAGATATGCGCGCGCGACGGCGATCGATGCGAATATTTTTCGAGACGCGCCCGCTGCGCACGGCGCGCCGGAACCGGAACTTCAGGTTTTCATATAAACCGAGAGAGAGAGAGAGAGAGAGAGAGAGAGAGAGAGAGAGAGAGAGAACTGGAACTCTTGATCCACCGAGATCTATTATCTTTCAATGTATCAAATATCAGGAAGTTATTGCCATCTTTTTTTAGCAATTTTCGGAACGCGGATCTTTGTGCGAAGCAAACATTTTCCGCATCGATCGCGAAACATACGAGCCAAGTGTAATTTTCTTTACTTTTTGAATCATTTCAATAAGGCGCAATTAGAACAACGACATTCTTGGTTTTTTTCTCACATTTTCATTGTGTTCAGTTTCACTCGCTCATTTTTGTCGCAAACGCGTCAAATTATCAATCTTTTAGTTACAGTTAACCTGTTGCACCGCGCAACGAGCCAAATTCGTGACGAAGATTTCATACGTGATCTCATAAGAAATACTATTATTCGCTTCTTAGCACGCGGGCATGTAAAATAGTAAATCTTAAACTTCATTGAATGCGTTATGCGTTAGTGCCTACGAGAATAATTATACACTTATCGTTCTTCAGATATGTGCAATATAATCGAACATTCCTTCAAAAACTTTTCGCAAAGTATTTTACAAATATAATTGCCCACGATGCTAGGACTGATCCGACAAGCTGGCGAAACGGCGAAAGACAGTTAGAAAGTGATTAAATGAAAATTAGAATTCACATAATGATCCGAGGTCTAATGACAAATAAGTAAATTACAATAACTGAAATAGAAACTGGGAGAATTTTCATCCGGGGGTTGTACGATTAATCCGAACTTGGTTCGCTGGACCGACACGTAATATCAATTCCCCCAATGCCGGAGCTTGAATTCTTGCAATGGAATAAATTTAAACTCGAGTCTCTCGACGCCGGGGTCACGGGGGCAGGGGATGCACGAATATCTTTAACTTTGAATCGCTCGCTCGCGATACTCTATCGGCTCTTAAATTAAACGCCCCCGCTTGCAGTTTCTTTTGCCACCGTACGAATACCACAACAATTAAACTGCACTCTCGACGGGAGTGGCCCGGTCGAAGTTATTAGCCTGGAGTGGCTTCTAACGATGCAAGAGCCTCGGAGTACTTGCTGACTCGTGTTTTCGCACCCCCGATCAAAGCATTATGTCGAAGCGCCGCGTGTCTGATACACTTCAAGTAGGATAACTTGGCCGACGCGCCCGCTCGTTCGACAATCGCGATAACCGAAGCGTTTAATCAATCCAGAAACACGACGAAAACTACGCTTTGAACGAGTCGATCGGCGAACCGTGACCAGCGGGCCACCGATTCGTGAACGTTGATTTTCTTATCGTTCGCCCGCGCAGGTTTCTCGTTCTTCTTACATTCGTCATCGATGAAAAATTCAAATAATCTCTTCAGAAACGATCGCGCAAAAGATCCTACGGATCGGACAACGTCCAATTTTTAGTTTACGCTTTAGCCATCGTTCGTCTCCGGCGTCAATTTGACACTATTCTCAAGTTTCAAAGCATATTGTGTTCTGCTATTTTTAGGCAAATTGAACTCTTATTCTTTTAACACGAAACGTATGTGCCTATTATTATCGATGGAAAAATCTATATAACGCGAAGATGTGATAATATTTGTTACGAAACCGATGTTGCGTGTCAATTCGACACATGAATTTTACGAACAGGAGAAGACACGTCGCTTCTCTTTTTCTGTCGACAAAAAATTACCTAAAAGCTACAGGGAGCGCAAATCTAATATTTTCGAATGGATGTACTTTCGAACGTGTGTGAACTATACCGAGTGACCGAAACGGGCTCGATGCCATATATGTCGATATAAAAAGAACGCAAATGTACATAGTGCACGCTGCGATAAGTGTAAAAAGAAGCAGTTTCTCCAGCACATTGTTTCATTTTATGTACGAAAAGGGGAAGAGAACATCGTGTAAATATGTTTTTCTTTATTTTCTATCGAATGTTTCGTAGAAACTGTTTGCCTTTCAATATATTGATCTCATACGATAGGGTCAATTTGACACACGAGAGACAAATTAAGCTGGAAAAATGAGGATTGGGTGAGAGTTAACTTTGATCTGGTGAAGGTGAATTTCATAGAATCAAGTGTTCATTTGTTTTTTAAATATTGCGAAGTTAAATATTTTTATATTTATAATTTTAGAAGTTAAATATTTCTTCGATCATAACATACGCACTTTATTATCTCAATAGTAAGTGTAAAATGTTAAAACTTCTGTGGAGTTTAACAGCTCGATTTAACTTCTTAAGTATTCGGCGAGGATTCATTAGACTTTCCATGGAATTTCTCCAAAAACTTCTTGAGATATTGCGACGACGAGGAATTGTCGGAAGTATGAGAAGAAAATGTATGTTTTTGTAGCTGAGTTAGAGCTTCTAAAAAGAAAAAAACATTGTTAGGCAACAATGAGTGTGAAAATGAAACTGTATTCCATGAAGAAGGATGAATGGAGCAACAAAAATTTGCGATCGTAGCAAAAGTGATACTTGCAATGATCGTCGTAAAACAAAAATGGTCTACGTCGATTGTAACAAACTGGAATAATACGAAAGCGAATTTTCTGTCTTAATAAATTTAAACGTTTGAAAATATTCCAATAATATTTTTGTATTTCTCTAATGCTTTTAGAAATTTGGGTCCCTCCTATCCGTTTCTATTATTAGCGCATAAAATCCACAGTCTGCTCGTAATACGTGCTGTATTATGTGCGACGTTGACACACGAATGAATTACTGCGTGGCGCGCACTGTCTATCGCATAACATTTATCAGGAAGTTGCTCGCAAAATATTGACGGCGGAACGTGTGCATTACGATATTGAATTTGAAGCAGAATTTATATTTTCATGATTGTTGTTTCATCGCTCGTAAGAGATCGGATGTATACTTTTCGGCAACGGATCCAACATTGAAACGTACAGAATACGGCTAAAATTTCACATTTAATCCTTCGTCGAAGCATCGAATATTACACGTCGTTCCAACGATCCGATGCCATCGTGTAAAACATGAATTATAGGAATACAAGTATTTCTCGACATTCTCAATTGGGATTATAAGCAATAATTGGGATTATAGAATCGAAGAAAATCATACATCGTTTCTTAAAATAAAACGAAAAATCATATTTAACCGATATAAGTATTAAAAATTCTTCACCGGTCTCGTTAAATTACGGGAAGAGGTTAACGTTCTACTTCACACAGAAATATTTCGAACAATTTGTCTCCGAAGCAGAAATTCGCATAGAACCCGCTCGAAATGGTACGAACAATTGACTTTTTACAATGCCGGACCGAATAACAACCACCGCCACTATCACTGCGCTGGAACGAATTGCGAATGCCGCGGGACGCGCATTAACCCAACTAGCAATTTCGACAGGGGTATGAAATATTAAACGACGCGCGAGCAATTCGACACAAAAGATTCTCCATAACGTTGGCTATTCCGCGCAAAACAACGGCCGCGCCACGGCAATTCAATCGAAATTCCGTGGCGGCGTTTCAGGATTTACGAGCAGTAGGTTGAGCGGCGAAGGGAGAGGCGAGGGGGACGCGTCAAGAAGGTAGGCCGCGGCAACGATTCGCTGTGACGCGGCGATAAAAACATAATAAAAATTAGCGAACGGACAGGAGGGTGCCGAGCGGCGCGGCACGGAGCGAGGCGTCGAACGATTTCGCGTCGCAATTAAACTTTCGCGGCTCGCTGGCCGACAATTCGACCGTCGGCGTTTTCGAGCGATCGCGTCCCCCGCGGATTTATACGAGCTTAACATGAACGGCCGGTCGCTTTTGTTTCGCAGGTGCAGCCGCGGCAGCGATGTCCGCGGGTGGTCACGGGTTCGACGCGCACCTACGCGGGCCCAGCTTCGTCATGGAGCCGCCGTCCAGAGTGGAATTTTCGAATTCGAGCGGCGCCTGGCTGGACTGCACCGCGACAGGAAGCCCGCCGCCCAACATCGATTGGTCGACCGCGGACGGACACCCGGTGAACGATGTACCCGGTGTCAGAAGGGTCCTCAGGAACGGCACGTTGGTCCTTTTGCCGTTTCTGGCGGCAGCGTTCAGGCAGGATGTGCACAGCGCGGCCTACAGGTGCGTCGCCAGCAACTCCGTGGGCCGAGTCCTCAGCCGTGATGTCCAGGTCAGAGCAGGTAAGCGAATTGTTCTTGTTTTTCACGTTTTCGCGGTGAGATCGAACAGTGAACTGTTAGATCTACGGAGGTTGTAAGTCTCCGATTCAATCGTGTGTGACACCGAGTCTGCGCGATTCCCTATGACTCTTTCGAGTGATACGGATGGTACGTTGATAAAGAATAGTTTTAACACTGGCTGATATCAATAACACTATATTTTAACATAACATAACAATTTTTAACGCTAGGGTGACTAACCGTACTTGGCTTAGGACTGTCTCTTATACACATCTAGATGTGTATAAGAGACAGACACTATATTTTAACATAACATAACAATTTTTAACGCTAGGGTGACTAACCGTACTTGGCTTAGGATGAATTGAGTTGACGGTGAGACTATCGACGGAGTCTTGACCGAAGTCTTTACGCGTTGGTGTCTGGTTAGTATCTGTCCGTTCGTTGTCTGTTTTGCCTTTTAAGGAGATTCGTTAGGGCTGTGAAGTTTTTAACCCTTTCGCTACTACGGACCACTATAGTGGCTTTCCATTTGGTGCCACTGAGGTACTACGGACCACTATAGTGGCTTTCCATTTGGTGCCACTGAGGTACTACGGACCACTATAGTGGCTTTCCATAAGATGCATTATATTGCATAATGTTTTATTTCCTCTCATACTGTAAATTAAAGAGCGCATGCTAAGACGTTATAAAATACCCTGGAATACTCTTTATTTATAAATACCCTTTGGAGAAAAATTTTTTCGTTCGAAAAATTCATTCAATTCAAACAGCTTAGGTTCTCCGCCGACCGCCGCGGAGTACCGACTTCCGCTGACGATCGCCGTCGCGTAGCGTGCAGTGATGTCGCAGCGCTCTGTTCAGCAGAAGTACCGCGACGGAGAACNTTTAAGAAGATTCGTTAGGGGCGTGAAGTTTTCAATGAGACACTCGGATTCAATGTTTTTTCAAGTTTTCCGGATCTAGAATGGGAAGCGGTCGTTTTGAGTGATTGGTTAAAAAATTGTGAGCAAGGGGAAAGGTGACCACCCCGAACTAACAGGCACTTGCAGGTATGAATCGTACCTGCGAGTGAATCTCGCGAAGAATCTGCGTGTCTTTGGGTAATTGGTGTTGTGCAGAAGGTAAAGGGAATACGTGACGGTNCTGTACTTGGCTTAGAATGAATTGAGTTGATGGTGAGACTATCGAAGGAGTCTTGACCGAATTTTTTACGCGTTGATGTCTCGTTAGTATCTATCCGTTCGTTGTCTGTTTTGTTTTTTAAGAAGATTCGTTAGGGGCGTGAAGTTTTCAATGAGACACTCGGATTCAATGTTTTTTCAAGTTTTCCGGATCTAGAAAGAGAGGCAGTCGTTTTGATATATTTATATTATATATTTATATATTTATCACCTAATACAGTATCTGATCTGGAACCAATGGATCAAGGGATCATAGGAAAAACAAAAAGGTGACCGCCCCGATCTAACAGTTACTTGCAGGTATGAATCGTACCTACTAGTGAATCTCACGAAGAATCCGCGCGTCTCGAAGTTTGACCGTGGCGCAGGTAATAAGACTGGGGAAAAAGTGGGTAATTGGGTAATTGGTGTTGTGCAGAAGGTAAGGGGAATACGTGACGGTGAGAGAATTTTGGCGACCAGATGTAGGCAGCGTTGAAGGAAATATTACAGGCAGGAAATAACGGCTTTTCGGTATAATTAGATACTATTATTACTGTCGCTTATTTGTTTGTGGTAAGACGCTTGCAGTACAGATAGAGTCGTTTGGTAATTTTCGGAATCTATTGTATGGTAGGGACGGTGTTGGGTCGAGCGGTCGAGCCACGAATGCTTTATTACTATAGATAGCTTCTATATA